TTTTTTCCATTGTATTTCATACACCTACACATATGCCTATGCGTTTGTTGTTTGCCCTACTTTGCGCGACATTATAATTAGACGATTGAAATTTGCGATTTATATTTTCCTCAAATGTGTTAATTAATTATGTAATTAAATTATTAATAACGGTGTCATGCTCACATCAAATTATTGAATTCAAATGCAACAAAAACTACCGTTGAGGGTTGAAAATGTAATTATCACCTTAAATCGCCTAAACGTATGCTATGAATTTTATATTTTGTGTGTATTCCTTTTTGCAATTTTTGCACATTTTAATTTCGCGCACTAGTTTTGTAAATCAATTTGTTATACATACACATTTTTCATATTTACACTTTTTGAGAACATTTGTATATAAGGAGTTTTACATTAAATTAAGGTATCAATTAATCTCAGCATGATGCGTGGAATGCATTAAGTATAATTAGTTAAGCTTTTGTTCTAGTAAACAAGATAAAAAGTTTTTCATATTATTTTTTACTTTTTTTCGTAAGCTATTGTGAAAAGGACGCTGAGCTGTACCATTTTTTGTCTCAAAGCTTTTAACGACACAACATTCACCTTTTTTGCAGATTGTTCTAGTATTTATGCTGCAAAGTACTTATTATTGCTGAGAATTCCACAGCTGTTTGTAATATATCATCTAATTTGCTTATGTAAAATATATTTTACAACATACATATTTACAAGTACGTCACCCTATATTGAAACATCAAACTGGTCCGAAAAATACAAGCTTAAAATTACAGTGCTTGGACAGTAAATTAAAAATATCTAAATAGAGTACACAAATTTTAGAATGATATATTCTTGCTGCTAACTTATCAAATAACCTAACATAGTAAAGAATTTACCAAAAACCTATCTTTTTTACAGGGATATAGAGAATATCGAAGTAATTAAGTTTTGGTTTTTTTTAAACTTTTTTTTTTGATTATTGTTTCCGTAGTTTTTCTGACTAGATATATAGAAATAGTATGAGTTTGGCATATTTTTGACTGAAATCCAACTTTGAATTGTAGAAACTCGTCAAATAACGAATATCTTTGCGACAAAAATCACAGGGACAACACTTTTATTTGGTCCTTTGTGATGCCAAAATATACTAGATGTGGAGCAAGTGAACCTCATATATAGACAAAGCGCTTTGAGCCTATTGTAAATTCGTCGAGGCAGCAAATTTCTATTTTAGTCAGTTCGCCCGGTTGACTGAAGCTATGACATCCAAAATTTTTTAACCGCAATCATTTGAAAACTGGACAAATGTGAAGAAAGTATAGCGATGTACATATACTTGTATTTTTATCTTTTCCTCTATTAAACACTTTGACTATTGGCGTCTGTTAATATTTTTACCCTCACCGCATATCTATTGGATATGTAGAGTTCGAACCCATATAACTGGGACTGAATATATCCATTGTTTATATAAAAACAATAGTCGACTGACTAGCTGTGTTTTTGGTGTAGACGAAACCGATAATGATAAATGTTATTCAAAGTATGTCAATACAATTATATTATATATATATATATATTGGGGTGAGTCGAAAAAAAACCGATACTTTTTCGTTCGCTTGGTAGTCTGAAAAATTGGTTGATAGATACCTTTAAGAAAGGCTCTCCAAGTCCGCCAAACAGTTTTCTATTTTGTTCTTATTAGCAGATAGAAAAATTCAAATCTCGTTTCCAACTACAAGTACTTAAAAAATATGTCGTTTCATAAATTTTGTAAAAAATTGAATGCTCTAATATAATAATATTAACGGTTGAAGTTTGATTATTTTAATTCAAAAAAATTTTTAAATTTTATAGTTCAATGAAAAAAACTCATAGTTTTGTAGGAAATTTACAACTCTACAAAAATGGTCGCTTATAATTTTTCGATTAAATTAAGAAAAAAATAGAAAATAGACTTTCTTATAGGTATCTAGCGAAAGAAAAGGTATCTGGTAGCGAAAAACATATTAGTTTTTTTTTACCGACCCTCGTATAAACGTATGTAAACTCTTGTCTACATGTACTTATGTTCCGTATACAACTGTACCAAATTGTTGCTGTATATGATGATAATGAAAATTTCACTTGATGCCAAATGATGTTTTAACTATGTTAGCCACATTTTAATAATTCCAATTGCGCAACAATTATAGCTATTGCTAAGATATTTGACAATTTAAAACTATTAACAATTTGACTGATCGGTTTCAAGTGCATGAGTCTGTTTATTTTATCTCATATTTAGCCAGAGAAGTTTTTGTGAACTCTTTGGATTTGAAATTAGGCTATCATTTTAAATTCTTTGTAGCCTTGCAAGAAGTTGCCGGCAACATATCATTTGTATTACTTCTATCTACATTAAAAACGAACAAAAAGTAATTGGAAGAGGACAGCCAAAGAATAGTGAAACATTTGAAGATACAAAGGTTTACAACAATTGTGCCAACTTGGCATTGTGAAGAAATCTCATGTCTAAAAATTAATTTTATTTAAACGGCAGGCTGTAAGGACTAGAAGAGGTATAAACTCATGATGAGGATTACAAGAGATATAAGCATACTGATTTCAATCATAACCTGTCTTTGATTCGCCACTTGCCATACACTCACTTAACTTACATTTTGAATATTTTTCCCTTACATATACTGAATGCAACATTAGTTTCGGTTTGCCTTGCCAAATTGAAATTACTTGCGTCAATTAAAATTAACTAAGAAATAATTTTTGATTTTATATAAATGTACACACAGATTTTAAAATCTATACCACTTGGCGTATGGTCTCATTCAATCTACTAACAATATGGCGTTTACTATTGGAATACCTTTGCTATTATTACTTGGATTCATAGAAATGCTATTAATTCAGCAATCTGTGGTAAGGTTTTGTATTCCAAGTACTTGTAATTAGATTTTTCATAATATTTTATTTTATTTTGAATAAGGGTAAGACTTGCGATTACGATTGGGATCCCACCTGTAATGATATATTTCAATAATATTTGAATTATTAAATCCAAAATAAATTCGTTTGGTCAAAATGGGACAAATCACATGCATTATAATTTTTCGAAAGAGGAGAAAACGAAATCTTTTACCAGTCTCTGGCAAAACTGGGTTAACTTAAGGCGATAAGCATGAATTCGTTTCCATAGATAAAATAAGTTTTGTAAAATATTTTTAAATAGTAAACAAGTAAGGCAGAGCTAAGTTCGATTGTAGCCGAACATTTTATACTCTTGCAACTTGCGTTACGTATTACGTATATGGAAGATAAAGGTAGTATTGATCTGATTTTATTTATTTTGGGCTTCACGACATATTATTAACAGAAAAAGATGCTTTCTGAGTTTCATTAAGGTACCTCACTTACCATGAATACTATACCATATAAGCAGTAAAGTCAGCCGGATGTTTCAAAATCCTGAATATCAGTTATATAGAGATCGGGGCAAGTTTTCTCCCGATTTTATCAATTTTAGGCAGAATAAAGCACCATTATTAGAAAAAATACGCTCATTTATTTTTATTAAGATAACTTACATATTGGCCGATATTTGCGAATAAGGTCAGCCGGAAGTTCCAAAATCTCTATATTAAGTATATGGGGGCTAAAGGAAGTACTGATCCGGTTCATTCTTTTTTTGACATACAAGCATAATATTATCAGGAAAATACTAATGTATTTCACATATTAATCGATTTTTTTGCTAGAAGGTCAACCATAGGCTCTTTGGTCTGGACATTGGCTCCTCTAAATCACTTTTGTATCATTTTACTATTGGTACAACTTGGCTTTTATTACTTGGTTTAATAGCAATGCTTTTAATTCAGCAATCTGTGGTAAGTTAATACTCGTATATCTCAAGTACTCATAATTATAATTTCACAGTGTTATTCTATTTGACAAAAGGGTATGGCCTGCGGTTTTTGAATGACTAACAACTGCAAAGATAATAAAAAAGGAAAATTTACTAAATAAATTTTGCGTCCACGAAGGTGAAGCGTTGTTTTTTTTTTAATTTTTTTCGAAAGAAGTGACAATAAGTTCAAAAATTCTATCATATTTTTTAGCCTAACGATTACTGGTGACAATCACAACATTTTAAAACATATTTAGGTATATATTACAGCATGAATTCGTATGTAGTTATTTATCTCAGTCTAATCATTTACAATACTTGTCAAAAAATTTAAGTATGAAAGCAACATGTGAAACTAAGCACACCTATTTCTATTCTGTCTCTATTTGTCATTTGCCAGTTGTTTGTTCAATCGCTACTCACTTGAAAGTGACTTCACTCATAAGTAGATCCATGCCGTATATTGTTTTTTACCTTGATTTAAATTATATCTCCACGGAAATTATTTATAAATATGTGGCGAATAACAATTCAGAAGCTACAAGGCAAAACTAAACTCAGTTTTTGAAATATCGTTCCGTTTTCACGCGTGCTTTTCTACACAAGAAGTTGCTTATTTATTGGAACCGCCGTTATAGGACAACTATGGCGTATAGCTGCTATACAAACTAACCGATCAAACTCACGTCCTTGTATGGACACCTTTTTTGTTTGATAACATAACTTCACGTAATTTAGCATAGACTGTTATCCAAAGCATCGCTTAAATCTGCGAACAAATTGTTTAGATGTCGTTTTCCCAAAATTTCCATTAATAAAATTAGTTCCGTAAAATAAATATTTATATTTTTTAAAATTAAATCTTTATGTGAAACACCATATTTATGAGAAGCGCTGTTTGATATAATTTTGCTAAAATATAACTAAATGTTTTTCGACAAATACCGTGTGAAGAGTTTCTCTAACCCTCACTAATATATACAATACATATTTAATGCAACATTAGTTTCGGTTTACCGCGCATTATTTAAATTAGTTGCGATAGTAAAAAAATTAAGAAAGTAAGTATTTTTAATTTTATATAAATATATGCACTGATTTTAAAATCAATATCTCTTGGCGAATAGTTTCATTCAATCTACCAACAATATGGCGTTTACTATTGGAATACCTTTGCTATTATTACTTGGATTCATTGAAATGCTTTTAATTCAGCAATATGTGGTAAGTTCATATATTTGATGTACTTATAATTATATTTTCACAGTGTTATTCTATTTTGCAAAAGGGTGGAAACTGCGTGGGCGAATGGATGCCGTCATGCAGGATATAATTTTGAAACAGCTGCTCACATATGGAAATCTTCTTAAACAAATTAGTTTGTGCTTATGTAAAATTTTCACTAAAATAAACGTTGAATTAGTGAAACAATTCTCTTAAAATAACTAGTCCATTGGTCAATATATGTATGTGGTATAAAGTCAACTGGAAGTTCGAAAATCTTTATATTAGGTATATGGGGGCTAAGGGAAGTATTGATCGGATTCAACATATATTTAACACAAGGGTATATTAATATCAAAGAAACATTTTACCAGAATTTCAGTAATATTTATATTTCACAGATTGACCAATATTTTCGGAAAAAAGTCACCAATACGCATTGGGGTCCACATATTTGACGTCTGGGTTCTAGAAAAGTTATGGTCCGATTTCGACAATTTTTTGGCCTAAAGTTTTATGGGGTTTTGATTTGTAAACTGGAAAGTCAAAGAATGAGATGGAATTTAAAATTGTGTTATATAAAAAATAGGCGTTTTGTCTGGTTTTTTTCTGGTGTTGCCCATTTTTTCAATGCGATGTAAGAATGTCAGGATAATATTATCTACCGAATTTGGTTCAAATCGGTTGAGTAAGTCCTAAGAAGTGAATTTTCACCTAAATGTGGGCGGTTCCACATCCATCGTCAAAATTTGATACCGGCCTTATAAAGCCTTTTCCTATAATCTCGGTTTTAAAATCTTATGTTTCTGACACATTTATTTATTGATTTATCGTGCTTTTAGTAGTTTTTAACAAAACCGCTATATGAAGAGAGGGCGGTGTTATAATCCGACTTTATCGATTTTAACACTGTCAATAGGAGTTCTTATAGCATTTGTCCTTAGCGAATTTGGTTATTGTAGCTTTAGTGGTTTAGGAGATATGTACATAAAATCTATTGGCTACAGCTTGCACGCACAGAACAGACGGACGTTTGATCACCCAGACCATTTAAATATATTTAACCCTATATCTAACTCGAATATTTTTAGGAGATACAAACAACCGTTAGTTTAATATAACTTGCAACATGTTGCTACAGAGTATAATAATAAACAATACATGTATATGGTTTTGTAAGAGTTTATAGAACACACTACCTTATAAATCTCAACTTTTATTAATAGCCTGTCTTTGATTCACCACCTGTCGGCTTGTAACATTTCCAATAAAAAATGTTCATATGAAAGCTACAACAAGATTTCTATATTTCATTTATGTCAGTTGTTTACTAGAATGGCCACTCACGTAGCCTAACAAATAGGGTGACCCATATTATGGTTTTTTATTTTGACACATGCAAGTCATATTTCCACGGGACTTAATAACATCTCGATAAATAAGCTTTTTTGACGAACACCATTTTCATCACCGATGTAGTTTCATTTGTTAACATCGGTAATTGACAAGATGTTGTTCTTCGTCAGTTTTTGCAAGATTGGTTTGTATGTGGTATAAATATTTCTGAGAGATGTTGGATCATCCACACACAATAATATGAGCAGAAAGTTCGGGTAATAAGAAATCAAAATTGTCTACACACGTGTTATGATATTACGCCGTTCGACCTGCGTGTGTGATAAGTATACGAAGAATCCGTTAAGCATTCGTGAGATGAAGTCAAAATCATAAATAAAATTCGTTTTGTAAAATATTTTTATAATGTAAAAAAAAGAAATTCTCTAAATACTGTGTGGAGAGTAGCTAAAGTCCGAAATGGCTCGACTTAATTAATCTCTTAAATATACTGAAAACAACATTAGTTTCGGTTTGCCACGCCATATTAAAATTAGGTGCGCCAATAATAAGAAATAAATAAATTATTTTTGATTTCATATAAATATACACACAGGTTTGAAAATATATACCACTTGGCAAATAGTCTCATTCAATCTATCAACAATATGACGTTTACTATTGGTACACCTTTGCTTTTATCACTTGGATTCATAGCATTGCTGTTAATGCAGGCCTGCAATTTCGATGAGGATCCGTCATGCAGAATATAATATTTGAATTTCTAACAGCATAAAATAAATACAATACTAAAAATATACATTTGTGCAAAAGTGACTGTTTTGTTAAAATAATGTAAAATGTAAGAGGGCCAATATACATAGGGTGGTAATAAAATAATTATCAAAATCTGTTTTGCTTTAATTTATTGGCTTGTTCGAAAAAGACAAAGGAAGTTCCTATTACACAGCAAATCTAGCGGTTTTAAGCGTCTGAATAGTTAATGATTTTTTTCCATATAATCATTACCTGATACTTTATTACGGATACATTGCAGTAACCCAAGATCGCCTAGATTTTTTATTCAATTCAATGCCACAAAATAGTATAGCAAATCTATGTAGCACATATTTTTAATGCAATATTTCGTTTCGCACTGCTTTATAAAGGAAAATTCCATATTGAACTATAAGTCTGCTTAAGCTCCTCAAAAATCTTGGCGGTTGCTTTCGATTTCCAGATGTTGACTTCCCTCTGACAATGTGATTTGTATGATAATAACTATAATAATGTTCTTTATCATGATCTCTTCTGCAATGTGGGCTTCAAAACAAATATGTATTCGTTAATTAAGCCGATTTATTATCGCTCATCACATTTTAGGTACTAACTTGCTTTAAAAAAAAGGAGTATCTATTAATTGTGAGACTAATAGTCGGAGATCCATGTATGTACATACTGAAAATCATATCTACGAGTATATTTGCATAAGGCAAGAATATAATACTTTATTAGGGATTAGTGTGTATTGGCTAACCATGCTAATTTTCTTTGCGATGGAATATATATGCATGTATTTTATCTTTTTTCACAACAAACTCCAAATTAACTGAAGCTTATTACATTTATTCCATATAAATGGATTCTCGCAGTAAAATGAGCCTTATTGCGTTAATGTAAGCACTTAAACGCACTTATGTAAAACATTACAAATTACCATTCTAGCCTATTACCAGGAGTACAGGGTGCACCGTTCTTCATATTTGCAATATTTTCTTTTTTAATTATATTCTTTTCAATTTATTTGGAACCTTCTTATTGTCCACTGCAAAATGAACTTCACTTTCTACTGGGTTTTCCAATACTGTCTCAACCATTCTGATCGGTATAGCGATCTGGTTCTGCAATAATGGATTCTTTGAGTTGCTGAATATACTAAATGTACCAAATAACCTTACTAAAAGAAATCAAGAGAATTGAAAATGGAGAACTGGGTGGCCGGTCAAAGTAAACCTTTTTTGAAGCGATCAGTATAAGTTGCAGAAACTGATTAATATAGTTTGGTTCACAGCGTGATCTGGAAAGCTGTCTTCTTGAAACCAGTAGTCGTCGACATATTTTTCTTGCATTTGCGAGCAGACAAAATGCTTCAACAATCGTCGTTATCGATTTCCATCGACTGCAACGCTCTCTCTCAAAGCTTCAATCCGTTCATTCGAGCATTTTGGTCGCTAATGAACGGTATCATGGGTAATATAATACCAAACTCTTCTCTTTTATTTGTTGTCAACAGTGCCAAATTATTTGCCACTGAACAGAATCGTTATCGTTATTTGTGAGATCAACTTTTATTCAAGGAGATTTAATATTAGTATTATTTAAGAAGTGGTTACTTGAAGCAAAACATTGTGTTTGGCCTTTAGTAAAACAAAGACAATGATCCTTTCGAAAAGGTCAACAAAACTCAGTGAGGCCAATTAGCCTTAAAACGATGGCGGTTAAGTTTCTGACCTCTTCGATGCGCTTTTCTTTTAGCGCGAAATTTGTTAAAGATGTTTTGGAGAGGAATCAGTCTATTCCCTCAGTTTTAAATTTACCTATTTTACCTATTTATTTAATCCAATTGACTCAAAACTGTCTAATACTTAGCTGGAGAAGTTAATAGAAGATACAATTTTAACTTGATGTAATTGATTGCCAATTTCTTCCTGAGCTTGCACCTTTTACTGGATCCACCTTTCAGATATAGGCTCTTCAACTCTTATATATTTCGAAGCTAACTGTTAAGAGTAATCCTAATTTTGAAACAAATTTATTGTACGTAATTAAAAAATATAATATTCACATGGTGTTCTTTTGCAAAAAATGTATGTGTTGTTTGGTGATCTCTGTTGGCCGTAATATTTTCAATATAACTTTTTCAATATAAAGCGTCACTATTTCGATATAAAGTGATTCATAGATAGAGTTGTACTCGATTTGAGTTTACCGATCAAGTCTAATAAAATTTAATTTTACATACCGACACAAAAAATGGCGCACCCTATATCTATGTGCTCACATCGAAATGCATAGCATAAATTGCAATCAACCCAAAGTATGTGGTACAGCACATAGTAGAACCGCTCGAATTTAACAATTATTTACAAAATGAGCTATAAAATGAAGTTGTTTGCTATAAAATCTGTCAACACGTCGTCAAGTGTAAAGGTAATGTGTGTGTGTGTGAACCTTATATATGCAGATGTACATGTATGTAATATTTTTTAATAACGAGCACATGTATTTATTGCAGTAGGTAGGTTGGCAAGCGTGAATGTGTGCATGTGTGCATACAACGCATGTTTATTTGCACTTAATGTTCTTAAAAAGTTCGCTTTAATTAATGTGGAGTACTTTACGAATTGAAAAAAGTTGTGGATTAATAAAGTTACATACTATTTCAACACTGTTTGCGAGAAGTAGTATTGGATAAAGTGGCAAAAATTCTACAAGCTTTGGGGAGAGCGTGAAAAAAATACAGGGAATAGGGTATGAATAAATCGAGTTACGTTAAGTGTTGAGGCTGAATACCGCGGCCGCAGAAAACACGTGAATCACACTTGGACAATTGAAGAACGGTCCTTTTTTTTAGAAAAAACAAAAAAAAAATCGATTATTGCTAATGCCTTCAATATCCAAGATGATTCATCCTGTGTTTTAAGGTTGACTAGGCTGAGGACAAGCCATGGCCTATAATTTTAGTCTATAAAAGGATAAAGAGACCAGATCGACCAACAAGAATAGCAACTCGAAAGGTATATACATATTAAAGTGGCTGTTTAAATTTGAATTTAAACATTTAACTCATTGTAGCAAATTGACTAATAAAAAAAAAACATCCTCAAAAAATATCAACGCAATATTCTCATTAAATTTACTATTGTTATTGT